AGGGCATTTAAATGAACTCCCCAAACCAAAACCAGCTAAACATTTAAACATTTTATATCCCAGAACTAAACCCTTAAGTTCATGCCGCCTTCAAGAAATTCACAGAACTGTTCGATTTGTTGATGTATACGCAAGTCTCCTAGCATCTGCCCTTGCTGCTCTAGAACTCGAACCATCATTTTCATTTGTTGTTGTGAATTCATCCTCCATGTTTTGAAGATCGATTTGCTCAGTCACCACTTCTGTGTTAGACGTTAAAAAGCTTCTGGTCCATCATTTATAGAACCAGTTTGAAACTTTAACGTGACACCAGTGGTGAACATAAACTGAAAAGTTTTTTCTTCTTCATTTGGTTGGCTCGATGAAGCTCCATTACCTCTAACAAATGATTTTCTCCTTCGATTGTGGGGCAAAATATATTTGGAGGCTATGGTTTATTCAAGGATCTGGACACTATTTGAGGATGGTTTGGAGAGGAGATGCTCACGGTTTCAATTCAATGGGCTAGGGCTTGTTTGGAAATTGCACTTTTAATTTGGGGAGAGTTAACAGCCATGTATGCATTCCATCATCCACATAGGCACAAGTTAGAAACGGAAGTTAGCCAGTGTGTAATGGAGTGCAAGTGTATAAAGTTCGGTGAGTAATGGGGTGCAAACTAAAGTTCGGTGAGTGAAACGTGACGTTATGCAGAGTTCGATGTGTATTCAAACATTTAAGGACTTTGCTTAGTTTACATAATAACATAATTATTATACATAGGGTGTCCATAATCCTCAATGAGGTGGAGCCCACATTTTTGAGGACCGCACCCATGTGAACCGGAGCCATGTGAGGGTTAAGTACACTCTAATTGTGTACTTAGCATTTTTCAACATTTAACTCCAAGGTTCTCCCTGAAGGAGAGAAGAAAAGAAAATACTATCAAACTTACGAAATCGCCCGGCGACAATTCATCGGAAGCAATCAATCAAAATAAAAGGTAAAAGATGGAATTGGAGGCCGTGGGGAATCTGGGGATGCACATAATACTCTCAAAATTGGGCCCATCTGATGTTGCGTCTGTGAGCTGCGTCGGAAAGATATTTCACGTTTGGGCCTCCGACGACTCCCTTTGGGCCAAATTCTGTTCCTTTGATCTTGAGCTCTTTTCGCCGCTTGATCCCCACGGGAACCCCGCCCCTTCTTTCAAGGTATATATATGTACACAGATAATGCTCAAGCTAAAAAATTAGCCTAATCAAGAATAGTTTTGTATTAATTTAATTTACTGTGATTTTGAGTTACAGAAAGGGATAATTTTAATTGACGGTTGACAGTTGAACTATGTTTATTATCAAACTTTAAAAGTGTTCAAGTTATACATAAGAAAATCTGGGAAATTAAACCCTGTGGTGTAAAGTTGCTGTACTGAGAACACTTTGCAATGTTCAAACAATTTAAATTTTGGTAGTCAAAGTAAAATTTAGAGTAAAGTCCAGTGGTCAGTGCTAAAATTAACCCGATCACATAATTATTATCCTCAAAAGACAGATAATGTAAAACATTTGGATTAACTAGCTCTTGAGTAATACCTACTTGCAATCCATCTGTGTTTAGATGGGTCACTCTCTTTCATTTCTATGCAAATCATTTTTACATATTTAGTAGAAGTAATGATGTTGTGTCTTTTCATATTCTATAAGAGCTCACTGCAGCTTTCCATGGCAGGCAGCTTATCTAGCATGGCGAGAAGCATTTGCTATGTATCCATGGTCACTGGTTATACGAGCAAAACGATGCTGGAGCAAACTCAAAAGCTGGTTAGCAGTGAACTTTCCAGAGGTTTTGCCTACTCTACGCGACGGTGCATCCGAAGCTGAGATCGATGAGTTTGAGAATTCTATGAAAGTAAAATTGCCTCTTCCTACAAGGCTTCTCTATCGTTTTTGTGATGGTCAAGAACTACCAAATGAAGAGTTTAATGGAAGCTTTCCTTCAACTTTGTTGGGTATTATGGGAGGATATACTTTATTTGATCATCTAATTAATGTGTTCCTGTTGCCCTTAAGTCAAGTGAGACTTGATACCATGGGTATTAAGCATCACCTGGGATTCAGCAACAGATCTGAGTATATTCTTGTTGCAGCTTCTGCCACCCACAGTGAAAAGATTTTCCTCCTGAACTGTAGCACTGGTCAACTTTTTGTTGGTACGAGGAATCTTGCCGATGGAGAAATGCTTCCTTGTGTGCCAGATACATTGATAAGTTTGGTGCATGAATCAAAAGGTAGTGAACAACAGGATGCCATGCTATTATGGCTAGAAGAACATGGTCGTCGCTTGCATGATGGCACTATTAAGGTTCGCCAAGAAGGAAAGATCAGAAGCATCAATCTGTTCCCGGAGCATCCTCCCCTATGTTCCTCAGCTATTACAAATGGCGTCAAGGTAACTACTGTTTTTGTACCGTTCTAACTACCCCTTTCCGTCTTAGTTGTTATATTGTTAATTGTTGAGTACCACTGCTTGTGTGGAACAGAGTGCTACTTGATTTTATGTTCTTGTGCCACGAGGCTTGATTTATGATTCTTATTGTAAATTGGAAAAGCTCGCGCAGTCTTTTGAGGTATCTAATTCTTGACGTTCTTATAAGGTCCTAGCAAAATTTAAATCTCCTTAATATAAAAGAAACCAGAAATTTCCTTCAGCAAATTCTCAGATGATGGTGGTATCCTTTCCATGTTATTCTATTTGCTAAACAAGTGGCCACCTAGTTACATAAATTTCTGAATTCTTTATTGAAGCAAGAGTGACTCATTACTTCGCTGAACCCATGTTTCTCGAACTGAAGTTAATCATTGAGCTGATCTCTCTCTTTTTACTTTTTCAATTTATCTCTTAGCACTTCACCAAATGTATACTCCCAGAAAGTTGATTATGTATTCTATACGCTATGCTTTTTCTTCTAATTCTAAGCTCATCTATGTTACTTATAATATATTTGTGAAGGGTGTCGTACATTTTTCTTGGTGATGTATGAGTAGCTAGCATAGTAAAGCCTCCCTTCTTAATATCTATATAATCTTGTTCTGTCTTCTATATTTCTTGTAGAACTTCTGCATTTTGTTGGATTCAGTTACTTTATTCTTATTTCTAATTGGCCATCATAAATTAACTAATACCATGACAATGTGTTCAAAAAATGTTGCATTGCATATATTTCAGTTGAGTATTGCACATGAGATAGTATATCTTTAAAACAGAAATGTTGTAACTGTAATTTAGGTTTTCTATGGCCTGCCTCTTGGATTTTTAACCTTTCAATGTAATTATCAAATTTTAATGGGTAAAATAAGTCTTGGAATTCAATTATATCACTCCTTGTAAGTTGTAACTTGTAAGAGTGCATTTTCTCATTTCTAAACTTTCCAAAATCTTCTTTTCTGAAAGCCATCCAAGTATATGGTTTGTGTATGCAGTTGTAGCATCATAGCATGTGATTGTTATACTGTTATTTGACTCGTTATGTTAAGTAGTAGCATTTGATCTTTTAATGATACAAGAACCTAAATAAAATTACTAAAATGACACTGTAATATCATATGATGTCCTTTTTCTCTTCATTTTTCAACTGATTTTTTCAATCTGGGAAGTTCAGTTTCAATTTGTAATCACAGTTCTGCACCTCCTTTGAGTTTGCTGTATAAAGTTCAATTCGACAATCAAAT